TTCATACACGTCCAATCGCAGGGCTGTTTACAAACGGAAAACGGAGAGACTGTTCGGGAGAGCTCGTGAAAACTCGACGATAAGGTACCTGACCGCCCCTAAAATTTTCCAACGGCTTTAGACGATTCACAAAAATGATCAATTTAAGAAATAAAACGGCAGATTTCCGCGGATCCGCGGAAAATTGCCATCTATGAATACAGTAATTAGTGAATTGAATTGAATACAACTTTATTGTCAAATTAATCAAATTAATCCCTTGCTATATCATGCTTTATTTATCGCAGCTTCACTACATTGCATTTTTTTTCAAAGTACTGTATTCAGAAAAAAAAAGTGATGAATGATTCAGAGGTTTTGTGTATGGCTGTATGCATGATTGGTTCCCGGCGCGACGTCGACCAATGACAGCACGAGTGGATTTATCCCGTGAGCTGATTGGCTGTGCTTCTTCAAAGCCCCACCCAGCACATTGTGTATTGTCCCGTGGTTGACTCTCTGATCAGTGTCTCATTCCATGGTTGCCACCTTGATCAGTGTCGAGCCACACTGTTGACTCATCAGTGTGTCAGCTGTGGACTCTGATCAGTGTCTCATGTTGTTTTGTTTGCTTTGTGCTCGCCTCCTCCTCATCATTACTGATTAATTGTCTTATCATAAACACATCGGCTGTGCGAGGATAGCTGGCCTGCAGCTAGCTGGAGGCTAATGGCGGTGACACTGTCAGAGCAGCGTAAAGTGAGTAACACAAGTCTCTTTGTCTCTCTCAAAAAGCAATGTTGATGAATATTAATTACTGTCTGAGGTTTGATAATTAAAGATTTCAGTAAATATGTGTACTGCTGTACAGTGATGGCAATTTTCCGCGGATACGAGGAAATCCGCCGTTTTATTTCTTAAATGGATCATTTTTGTGAATCGTCTAAATCCGTTGAGAAAATTTTAGGGGGGGTCAGGTACCTTATCGTCGAGTTTTCACGAGCTCTCCCGATCAGTCTTTCCATCTTCCAATTGTAAACAGCCCTGCGATTGGACGTGTATGATGTCTTACTTGTTGTGATTGGTCGCTATATCGGCAAATATAAATCACAACCAATCCGTGTTCGCCTTCCTAATCCCCTTTCTCGCGAATGCCGAATGTTATCGAGACTCGCGGCGAAGCTAAAGTGCGTCAGATAGATGCAGCTCTGAAAAACACGTTTCGATGGGACTGGTTGGATAGAAAGCTGACGGTGTCCCCAGTAGGAAACAGTAAAGAGGAACCATTTGTGCTTGTGTCGGATTTCATGAAAAAGCTCGATGTCGCCGGTAAAGCTCTGTGTACAGTGTGTGACGATGTCATTCTATACGGATCGAGAGGATGGAAAGCTTTACAGAGTCACGCAACCTCGGTGAAACATCGAAAACAGACATTTCTACTGAAAAGTAACTACTCGATCTCAAGCGCCTTTCGACAGCCTGTGTAAAAACAAGAGGAGTTGGCTAAAAAGAGAGTGGAAAAAGACGGAGAGGACCAATAAGCTTTTAGCGCTTGCTAAAATACTTAAAATGAAGCGGAAATAAAGTATTCTACCCCATGAAACTCTATATTGTTGTATATACTGTAAATAGACATCCACTTTATATAATAAAATACATTCATAACCCATATATAGTAAACTGTGTGGGACTTCACTATCACTGTATGAGGTAAGAATCAACAGTTTTTTTATCACATTTACACAACACTTTATGAATACAAGTCATGAACAAATCTTAAATATGGCAGGGAATGTGTTTCCTTTTTTAGTTTTGATTTTGAGCAGCAAATTTGGAGTTACATATTGGTGCTCACCAGGAATGCATAAGCAAAATTGCACAAATTTTCACTTGAAAGAATAGTGGCTGGCAATCTTGGGATTTTTTTCTGTTCAAGCTTCAAATAGTGTGTAAATTCAATACACTTCATCTTCAGCATGTTGAGTGCCACTTTTGTAATTAACACGCCACCGTCCAGACCACGCCCCATCCAGGCCACGCCCCGCACAGGCCACGCCCCTTTTCGCTTTTTTCATCACTCGCCATTGCCATCACTGGCTGTAGTCTTTGTCTCAAATATGTAAACCAGGGGTGGCCAACCAGTCAGAAACTAAGAGCCAAATTTTTTCTGTGTTACTACAAAGAGCCACACACACACACACACACACACACACACACACACACACACACACACACACACACACACACACACGACCATGCACTTGCGCACATATGCGTGCATGCCACGACGATCATCAGCCTAAGCGCCGAACATCAATGAAACCTACAAACCACAAACACACAAATCTTTTTTTCCCTATTTCCTCCTCCCGCCGCTCACGGTCGACTTGGGACCAGTCTGCTGGCTCTTGGTCGATTGCAATCGACGTATTGGGCACCCCTGCCTTAAAAACAGACGTAATTTGCTGACTAGCTTAGCACTTAGCACTTAGCGGCGTTGTCTGCGCATGAGCGGTGATTCAGTCATCTGATTGGTTGCTTTCTATGTCAATCAAGTAACGGGATTGGTGATAGGCTGATGTAGTACGTTCTATGTATTAAGCACCGTTGTTTTAATGGCAGCGCCATCACCGAGGCATTTTCGACAATTGTCGGGTGAAAGCCCAGGAGCCGCATTGAACCAGCCAAAGAGCCGCATGAGCCGTGGGTTGGCCACCCCAGATGTAAAGTATAAATACTGTTTACATGTTTTAAACATGCTGGTATCCACATGCAATTACACAAAAATTCCTAAACGCTCTGAGTTTCAATGTTTGCAAACGTTGCCTCCAAGATGCGCGCGCATCTTAAATGACGTCACTGTTGTTTGCAAGGACGAACATTCTTAATTGCCTCCTCAGTCCAACTCTCACGTCTTCAAGCTTGTAACCATAACTTTAACCGTTTTTTCTGAAAGGGGTTTTTACCAGCAGGAATTCTATAAAAGACTAGATCCCTGTGTGTACTCTTTGCATTCTGACAACCCACGGCAAGAGACTATTACGACTCACAAGCGTGTGTTTTCTGCCTCCAAGGTGCGTGCGCAGCCAGACTTAATGTATGCATGCGTCACATGAAACTAATCTATTGCACTGTAATCTATGGTGATTGGTACTTTTGTTTTATGAAACGGTGCCATCTATCCATATGGGCAAGGATGACCGTGGCGCAGCAACATCCGGAACTCCTACTGCAGTAAAAAGTGTAATGTTCTGTGTGTGTTACATGAAATAACGACGCATTCTTGGAGATTTTAATCCTTTGTTCTGCAGCTCTTTCAGCACCTCATCAATTCTGAGATATGATACAGCTTGGCATGAAAGCGCCTTTGAGCAAATACCTTTCAAAAACGTTTCCTCAATAAAAATCTATGAATGAATCAATTTTTAGTGTATTCTTTCATATGAGTCAACACTTTGGTTAACTTCATTTTGTTTACCTGCTCTGACTTTAGAGCTCCAGCAGACATCACTACTGAATAACCAACACAGTGTTGATACAGTGTCCCACACAGTTTGTGTAATGTGTCAATACACTCCTTGAGGTATCATCAACCCATCAATTACATAAGAGTTAGTTGAGCTACGACATTATGTTCGAGTGCGCGCTGGGCATCATATTACATCCTCGTGTGATGCTTTGCAGCACTCGTTTTATTTCAGTCAATGACGTACTCACCACAACTAGGGTGAGTGACGATTCAGGTGATGGCCTAAAAACTGCTTCCATTGGCGCTTTGTCCGTCGGTGTTTCAAAGTTTTCCATCATTTGTCATTCGCCAGCAAAACAAGAATTCGTCAGTGAAAAACTGACAGACCTTCCATCAGCACTGACAAAAATGCCCGCCTCTGTTCATCTCATGAAATAATTGGTTAACTGGATTATTACAACTAAGAAACAGTTACCCTATGATTTGTTTAGTGCTCAAATTATGTTGTACAATTAAAATGATAAAATGAATTTCAATATTGAAAAAGTTTATATATATATATATATATATATATATCTGTGTGTGTGTGTGTGTGTGTGTGTGTGTGTGTGTGTGTGTGTGTGTGTGTGTGTGTGTGTGTGTGTGTGTGTGTGTGTGTGGTATTATCTGTCTTGTCTATTTATTTTACAAATCAAATGTGGGCCCCGTGCACAAAGGGTTTTGTTGTTTTTTTTGTTTTTTTTCACCGCTGCTTTAGATGCTCACCGAGCTGATAACTCGATTAGTGATTTCCAACACGGCACATTGTGTTGTGAGAGATCATCATGTGTGCCCTGGGAAATTATCCAATTCCCCTTATTTGACCCAATAATTATTGTTGATGTAGTGGAAATAATGTGTCTTTCTTCATTTATTCATGCCACCTACATAGAGTAACAGTCAGAACAATAACGTTGAGAAGATAGCAAAGGAAAGCCAGTGCATCCACCTGTTACCATTCATCTCTAACAGAACATGAGAGCAGTCCCGGATTTAGGGCAGACACTCAAAGTAAAATCAAGAGCAAATTGAGACAATCTCATCATTGTTTCAGGATAGAGTACAAACTTTTTGAGACAATTTTATTTGATGGTGTGTCATGAGATTTTTCTAATGTAAGATATATGCCTGGTCTAAATAAAGGTTGGGAAAACATTGAATCTCAATTAATGGATTGATAGATGTTCTTACCTTTGGTATATATCTGTGGGTCATCAAGACAAGGAGCATCAGTGAAGCATCCATCCTGGTCCGGGGTCCAGAGTTCTTCCAGATCTTGACAGGGTCCTCCAAAAGTGTTTTGCACTGAAGTAATATAGCGTTTTCCACCACACCATTAACAGCAATGCACGCTTCTGTGAGTGCTCTTCCAGCTGTGGAGTCACTCATTCGAGCTGCTGCTGCTGCTCCTCCTCCTCCTCCTCCCCTTCTGTCCTCCTTCTCATCATTCACTAGTCTAGGCTGAGTGCAGATACAGACACCCTCTGGAGGAAGGCTATAACAATCAACAATGCACTGGCATGATGAGATGCTTTGTCTCCCTAATAGCAGAGCATGCCAATAATTAGCAGGTAATTGGCGTCACGCGTCTGTTTTTCGCTGCAAATAACTAAAAAGCAATAATAATAATAATAAAAACAATAATAAATGTGTGTCTTACGACTGGATAGCAACCAGTTCAGGGTTTCCCCCGCCTACTGCCCGAAGATGGCTGGGATCAGCCCCAGCATCCCTGCAACACTCGTCATGATAAGCAGCTCAGATAATTGAGAGATGGATAATAATAATCATCATCATCATCATCATGATAATAATTTTTTTTTGAAATCATATTAAACTCCGCGGTCCAGTGGTCAAGTGGTTAGCGCTTCTTTTGTGTTAGCCTTGGTTGCTCTGACTCACGAACTGCCCCACTGTCATGTGGTGTTCCACAGGGCTCAATTCTTGGGCTCCTGATGTTTTCATTGTATCTGCCCCCTTTGTGTTCCATCTTAATGAAACACTGTATTTCCTTCCGGCGGCCCGGTGTCCAGTGGTTAACGCGTCGACCTCACAGTGCAGAGCGACTGGGTTTGATTCCAGCCTTCCTATGTGGAGTTTGCATGTTCTCCCCGTGCCTGCTCTAATTTGCTCCGCTATTCCAAAAACATGCATGGCAGGATGATTGAACACTCTAAATTATCCCTAGGTGTGAGTGTGAGCGCGGATGGTTGTTCGTCTGTGTGTGCCCTGCAACCCTTGTGTGGATAAAGCGGATAAGAAAATGGATGGATGGATGGACATTAAACTCCTACCGAAACTATCACCTTAAAAGCATAGAAGTTTATGTGTCTCAATGATTCTAGGTGCTAACTTGTCTGAGGTCTTTATGCTCCCGGGAGGGTCACCCAGGACAAACATGGTAAAGGTGGCAAATCATGTTGAAAATACTCCGTGGACGACCAGATCCTTTCCCGTGTTTTGTTATTCGACTTCTGTGCTCATTGTGAATTACCAAGAATAAACACCATGTTCAAGGTAACGGTGTCACACCATACTTGGTACTAGAAGTTTATAGCTGCCAGTCTATCGAAATTCACTTCCAGAGTAATTTGTAGGAATTTCCATATTTTTAATGTTTTATCAAGAACATTACCATGGGAACCCATTTTCACAGTAGATTTTGAAAGAGGATTTTAAAAACTGCAAAACACTTAATTGCACATGTTCTTATCATAACTCCATAATTGGAACGTGATCATTTAATGTATTCTTTGCATTAGCCATGTAAAGATGAGAACATAGTCATATAAAGATGAGAAAAAGATTAAAAAAAACCTTTATTTGTCCCACACTCGGGAAATTTGCAATCTACAGCAGCAGATTTGAATGGGATGGAGTGTGTGTGTGTATTGCACGCACAAGGAATTCATTGTGGTCCAACAGCAATACACCCATACGCGTCTGTCTTTGTTCTGAACCATTCTTCTTCACTAGGGTCCATCCATTCATCCTTTTTCTATTCTGCTTATCCTCACAAGGGTCGCGAGGTGTGCTGGAGCCTATCCCAGCAGTCTTGAGCCTTTCTCAGGGCACGCACAGTAGAACAACCAGTCGGGTCCACAATCACACCTAGGGAGAATTTAGAGTGTTCAATTAACCTATGGTGTATGTTTTTGGAATGAGGGAGGAAACCGGAGGACCCGGAGAAAACCCACGCAGGCACGGGGAGAACATAAAAACTTCACTCAGGAAGGCCGGGGTCTGAATTAGAACACTGCACCTCTGCCCTGTGAGGCGGGTGTGCTAACCAATTCTAAGCAGTGACTCTCAGTTCCAAATACGCAGCTGCGCTCCGTGCCAAAGCTCCTCTCTCCTCATCCTCTGCTCCGCAAGCCATTCATTCAGCTGCACTAACGCAGACTGCTGCCCATTACAGGCGCAAAAAAACGCCTGTAAAGGGCTGTCCAGTGGCAACAGTCACATAACGCCGACATTCCTCCCAATCAAAATCTGCTGGTACACGCATGCTGCTGAGGAGGTGCAACCACCAAGCACAGATTCTTCTTCGACAAATTTTGTGGCCAAAACACCGAAAACAATCCACGTCAGGTCCACACGAAGGACAACAAACACCATATGACAATACAAAAGATAAAAACAACAAAAAGCAAAGCTCTTAAAGAGCTCTTGCCGACAGCTGCCAACTATAGCGCCATCTTGGATTTTCTTCTTAGCACAGGATGGTCGTCTCACCTTTTTAAGGACCAATGATAAGGCCTATTTATGGGCTCTTGAGAGGCCAGTCCGCGAGGAGGTCCAATTTCAGAATTAGGAGGAGCAGTCAGGTTTTTGTCCTGGCAGAGGAAAAGTGGATCAGCGTTACACCCGCAGAGTTCCAGAGGTTGCATGGGAGTTTGGAAAACCATTTTAGCATGTGTTTTGTGGACCTGAGAAGTTCGAATGTGTTCCTCGGGGAGTCCTGGAAGAGTGCTCCACAAGAACATGGTACCTGAATTGACCCCCTGAAATACCGATACCTCATGGAACCCTGCATATTCGCTAACACCCCTGATTAATCACTTTTTTAAAATTTTTTTTTAGGGTGTGACAAGTTTCCAATATTGAACTTATTCCAAAATATTAAAAATGACTGAGCTTGAATTTTAGGACTGCATTATCCGTAAGCCACAATTTGTTATGTTCCTGTCTGGTGCTTTGCTTAGTTTCTTATTTTTTCCAGAGCTGACAGGCATGGGCGGAGCCTCCGGCACACACCTGAGCTGCATTTCAATCAGCCAGGCTTTGAAGCACCAGAGAAGCAGTGCTTGTCGCCAAACTTTTGTCACTTGCCTGTTGTTTTGTGCCAATTAATTCCCCATCGAGTTAGCAGTCGCATTTGTTTATTTCCTTCCTCGTGTTGGTCTATGAATGTACTTTCTGTTGTTCTTTTTACATCTGACTAGTTTGCTGACCTTGTGAAATAGAAATTAATTTTCTAGTGTTCCTTACCCGATCTTAGCCTCTCTTCACATGCACGATGTACACAGGGTAGAGTTGCTATGTTAAGTGTTTTTCTTTGCACCTTGCTGCATTCTTTGTTATTGCTTTCCTTTGCTTAAACGTCTACCTTATTAAGGTTGCTGGGGTGTTTTTTTTTGCCTCCCTTAGTTAGTAAGCCAAGTTTTATGTCTACCTATTGTCGGCATCCATTTTAATCTTTATGTTCACAAGCTAGCGTGTCGGCTTCACAGCGCAGAGGTGCAGGAATCGATTTCGGCTCTGGCCTTCCTGTGTGGAGTTTGCATGTTCTCCCGAGGCCTGCGTGGGTTTTCTCTGGGTACTCCGGTTTCCTCCCACATTCCAAAAACATGCATGGCAGGCTGATTGAACACTCTTAAATTGTCCGTGTTGTGAGTGTGAGCGCGGATGGTTGTTCATCTCTGTGTGCCCTGCGATTGGCTGGCAACCAGTTCAGGGTGTCGCCCACCTACTGCCCGAAGACAGCTGGTAAAGACTCCAGCACGACCCGCGACCCTTGTGAGGATAAGTGGATCGGAAAATGGATGCATGGATAGATGGATGTTCACAAGCTAGTGCTGCTTTGGTTGTCGAATAAAAGATGTGTTAAATTGCTCCTGTTTGGTTGTATTGCTTTGGGGTCTGCATTTGTTTATGAATGATCATCAAAGCAACAAAAACGTGACATATTTTACTCTAGCTGTATTGAATCGTAAGTTTCATTTTCTGTCATGTAAAAAATGTCACGTTTTTCTATATATATATATATATATATATATATATCTCTCTCTCTCTTACCCACTTGGACATAAACTCCACCCCGCCATCAGGTCACTAGCGAGGTGGTGAGAAGGGCTCAGTGCTGAGAGAAATCCCTTGTGTCTCGTCACGCTGTTGACTCTGGCACTTTGTCTCTTCTGTTGTGTTTGGAGGGAGAGCGAGAGAGATTGGGCTTTTCCGAAAGCAGCAGCACGTCTCTCATCAGTTCCGATTAATTGTCCTATCAAAAACACATCGGCTGCGCGGGGATAGCTGGCCAGGAGTTATCTGGAGGCTAACGGCGGCTACACCGTCAGAGCGTCAAATGAGAGCCGACTTCCACATCACCAACACAAAAGTCTCTTGGCCTCTCTCAGTAGGCAATGCTGATGAATGTTAATAACTGCACAAAGGTTCATAATTATAGATTTAGGTAAATACGTGTACTGCTGTAGTCTTTGTCTCAAATATCTAAAGTATATATACTGTTTACATATTTTAAACATGCTGGTACTCATATATACCAACACAAAAATTCCTAGAGGGGAGCCAACCTTCCTTCGCGGTTTTTCACTTATCGCGGTCGGGTCCCGGTCCCCATTAATCGCGACAAGTGAAGGGTCACTGTCATCAGCTACTAGCTTTGCCGTTAGCAAACGTAGCATGAGTTGAAATGCTACATATACGTTCCAATTTTTCCCCATATCACTTTTTAAATACTGTACATGACATTGTGATCGTGTGCACCACGTCCAGTCTCTTGTCAAAAGTTAGGAGAGCAATGTCTCCCTATTGGCCAACGACGATGGACACGTCGCACTATGCGGCAAGACGAACAAAAATTGTGACACGCCAGACTTGATCGTGAAGCGTTGAGTATGTCACATGACGCGGGCTACGATGTGGCAAGACAATTCAAAAGACATGTCTGTCGACTCGAAATCAGCTACATTCGTGTAGTCTGATGTCAGCAATTAGTCTGTTAAAGGGAGGTTCCACTTTATAAAGAATATATGTTTGCATTGACATGACATGACGTTATCAAATCTAATGGAAGTGAGAGGCTGAAATAGATTTGAGTTCACACAAAGACACGTCTTTGATAAGCAGGCAACACAATGGTGTACAACAAGCAGCCCACTAGGGGTTGCAAACAATGCAGATTGTGAACTGCAGCTGAGCATAATAGACAATCTACCGACAGTAAAGAGAACCAACACAAAAGAAGTTACCAGCATAATGAAGTTAACCACAGCTGTGTCTCAGGTGTTTTTGAGCTAAATCTATTCCTGCACCACTCATCCTGCCACATCCTGAACATATTGTGACCGCCTGTA